GGGGGGGGGGGGGGGGAGAGGAGGGCCCTTGCAGACTTGGTGCCCAGCACATGGTAGGCCCTCAATAAAAGCCAGCTGGTATGTGCACTTTATATGTGTAACTCCTGGATGAGCCTCTTTGTGTGTCATGAGGTCTGGGAGGGAAGGGTTCCCACCAAGGGTGCCCATGTGGAGGTGTCATGGCTGAGCAGTTGGAGAAGCAGAGAGAGGAGGGCAGCCTGGAAGAGGAGTCAGGCTGACTGGGCATGACCATCTCCTTGCCTGCTGATCTGGTGTGGATGCCATCCCTCCCTGGGTCTTAGTCTGGTGGTGAAATGGACATGGAAGGGAAGTGTCGTGGCTGGGTGGGTATGGAATGGCCTGGCCCGGCCCACAGTGAATGCTCACCCTTTGGGGCTGTCGTGGGCATCACTGGCTTCACCCTGATGGTCGGGGGCGGGGGGGGCGGTGCGCCCAGACCCGGGGCTGCTGAGCCTCCTTCCCTTTGAATCTTCAGCTGTGCAGTTGCCACCCTTCCCCTGGGAGAGGTGGGAACGATCCAAGACTCCCCTCTGGCCCTAACCAGTGTGGCCGCCAGAGGGCGAAAGAAAGCAGAATGTGGACCTTGTGGGCCAGGGGCGCCCTCTGCTGGGACGGAGCCAGCAATGGGGAAGGGAGCCTGGGGCCCTTGGAATTGCCTCCCTGTGCTGCCCGGCTACGCACAGCAGCTCCGCGTCTTCTGCTCTTCTGCTTAGAACTGCTGGCCTTCCTCCCTCTCCACCTGCCCTTCACAGGGTCAGGCTTCTGGGCCCAGCAGCCGTCTCCAGTGCCTGCACTCAGACAGCTGGAGGGCATAGGGCGGTGGCTCCTTGCCTTGGCCGTGGCTGCCTTGGCCTCCACCAGCACAAGACTGGCACTGGCATGCCTAGGTTTCCTTTGTCAGGGGAGCCCCTCTCCCCTGGCAGCTCCTTGACTTGGTTGTGGAAGCACCAGGGCCCTGGCAGAGTTGGACAGGCGCCCCCCGAGGCTGGGCTATCTTAGGTTCTACCCTGGCTGGGATATCTAGCCGGCTGGCCTGGCTTTGGTCCCAGGACCTAGAATGTCTGTGAGAAGGACTTTGGGTGAAAGCTATAGGATTGATGCTTCGTTCCAAGAGTGAAAGCCATTGATTTCAGATGACTATGATCTTGACAAGTCACTTTTCCCCTCCAGGCTTGAGGTGTCCCCTTCGCTCATTAAAATAATCATTTATAGAGCCCCTCTTATGGGCCAGGTTCAGGCATTAGGGGTACAGCAGTGAATAAAAGTAGCCAAAAAATCCCTGACCTGGTGCAGCTGACATTCTAGGAGGGAGATAGACAAAAATAAATAAGTAAATATTAGAGAGTGGTAGAGCAAAATGAGGAAGGAGACATCAAG